GGTTCTGCTTATCGGATGTAAATATATAGCTGTCACAGTGTGTACAATAGGGTTTTGGATCCTCTTGGGAAAATATGAAATAAATCCATTGTCAAGTGTGCTTTATAAATGGAGAAGCAGATCGCTTCTAATAGTGATGTTAAACACTGTGCATTCCTGAGAGAAAAAAATAATTGAAAAACAACTTTTCCTTCATGAGAGACATCACAAAATGTCTTCAGTGGAAGAATATTGAATTTCTATATATGAATTGTGAATTGTTACTAATGAAAGGTCTTTGATATATTTATCTATCTTAGAGACATGGGATTCTGATATTTCTGCTTTAAAAATGTTCATTTATAAATCATGAATGAAAGTTAACATTGAAATATTCAATAATGGGTCTTTAATGACACCAAGAAAACAGTTTCAGATTACAGAGGGCTTTTGCTTGGTACAGGAGTCTGAAGCTCAGATGTATAAGAAAGATGGATAAGATATCAGCTCCAGAGAATATTTTGCACATTATCCTTCTTTGTTGATAGGTCCTTGCTATTATGTAATTGTCACAGAGTATCTGATGTTTGTTATGCATGTCTACTCTTTCCTGATACATTCTCCTAATTTTCTCCATGAGGATTTATTTTAAACCTTTGGCTCGACTAGAATTATAGTTGTAGGAACTGACTCAAGTTTAAAACACTTACTTAATATCATCCTCTAAAATGTTAAATCCCGTGTAGTGATTAAGCATTGTAACTATGTCTCCAGTGGATAACAGAATTTTCAGGGACCCTTATGTGTGACTTATATGTACACAAGTCATGGCCAGTGTGTGCACTATTGTGCATTTTGAGGAATTTCTTACCTGTGCCTTGATACAAAATTTTTAAAAGGATTTAACAATGATAGACTAATAACTGCATTTTAGGCAAAGGTTGTTTTTTTTTTCCAGAAAATTATAGCTCATTGAGTCTCATGTTTTTGCATCCATGGATTTGAGTTAGGCAATTTTTTAAACATAGTGTTAAAAAAAAATAAAGTTACTTTTCCACTTCAGCATTTCTAAGTTTCTGGCAGAAATCTAAAGATCATTTCTCTTTGCACTGTCTCTGGGAAAGACTCTTTTGCTAAAATTTTTCCCACTTTTTCTGTCCCTTTACCTCAATTATAATATACTTTATCATTTCAGCTCCTCTTGTCTTATGGTATAAATCAAGATCTGTAAAACTCCTCAAATAGCAGAATGCAATGGCCCTGGAGTAAAGGGAGACTTTTCTTGATGAAAGCCAGGGGAACAGGAAAAAAATTATATATATATATATATATATATATGTTCTTGAAATTTAATTCCTATAGGCTTCTATTTTTTTTCAAACTTTACTGACTGAAATGGTGAAAAATATGAGTAGCTTCAGAGGAGCTGAAAAGCTGTAATCAAATATGACCTAAACTTTGGCACTTTATATTTGTGTCCTTTGGAAAGGCTTTCTATAGAGCTCTCTGGTATTTTGGCATGTATCCAAGAGATATTGTAAGTCATGTATTCATTATTATGCTAGAAAAGAGCCAAGTATTATCTCAAAAGAAGTTTTAGCTGAGTTTTCTTATGACACAATTTATATGTGGACAAGGAAAGTTCAGATAGGCCACCCGAATTAAAATTAAAGCTTCCATTTTTTTTGGATAAGAATCTCCTGAAGCATTTTTTATAATGTGATTTTCATTGTCCATATTTATTCACTCACAAATGTACATTATCTGCCTTGAAAACATAAAACCAGGACTGTGATATATTTTATGGCAGATAGCATGATATCTGCATCATTTGATTTTATCATATTGTCCTTCACATTGAGTGATGGATCTATGCCTAACTAGACATTTTTAGCATTAACTCTTTGCATTCTTTTTCTAATTACATAGAAAGTTATTGCCAACAATAGACAGGGGTAAATTTCAGGTAGAGAGCTGGTATTGGTAGGTATTCCTGTGTCCACTCCAGTAATGAGCTGATCTGGCTTCTTGTCCTACTTCTAACGTCACATCTGTATGACTATGAGTGAGTCCTTCTCTTCTCTGAGCCAACGCTCCCATGTAATTAAAAGGAGTTAATAATTTTCTCTCTGCAGGATTATGGTAAGGGGGAGAGAGAGGTAAGAGAGAACATGGATGTAAATGAAAAGCAAATAAACCATGTAACAAAAACTTTTGTACCTCAAACATTCTGAAAGAATGAGCTTTGGGAAGGCACGCCTGAAGTAATGGCAAGGTACACCAGAGCCCATTATTTGGATGAAAAGAAGGCAGAGCCTGTGTCTGAGCGCCACTGAAAACGTATTCCATGTGAATGTTGTCCTTGGAGCTGTGCTACACTCATGGTGTTTTCTTGGGGGCTATGCCATCTACATACTCAGAATAAAGGATTAATGACATTTTCACTGGAGTAGGGCCATTGGGTCTTATAAACAAATGTATTCAATTCTATCATTTGTTAAGTACTACAAGTAAACTGCAGGTCCATATGCTGAGGCTAGTGAGAAAAATGAGAGATTAAACAACTGTTTTTAAAACTTGTGACATTTTTGGATTAGTGAGAACAAAAAGTGCTTAAGATTTTGCTGTAATTCCTAAGACACTGATTCTAGTGCTGTGGTTTTGTATGTAAAACCTTTTGGTTATTAACTCTTCCCTAGTCAAGCCTCTCTTCTCTCCAACCAAAGACCTTAAGTAGAAATTCGAGGCAAGGATGAAAATTTGAAAATGAACTTTTTCATGTAGGTTTATTAAGACATTGATGATTTGAAAATCCCTCTCAAGTTCCTTCTGTTGAACCAGAACCATTTTAATCACGATAATTCTATATTGTCTGCAATACTTTTTTTGCAACAAGCTACTCAAAATAATCATGGTGGTTCAGTAAATGATCAAAAATTTATAAATGTTCACTGGGAAAATATTTCTAGAAACTACTTCCCTGGCTTTATCAAAGGTGAACATCAGCCAGGTGCAATAGCACAGCTGAGGTATGACTTGCTGTTAATTCAGATATATCACATGAATGACAATTAATCATCTTATTTAAAAAATGAGAAGGAATTATAAACTGTCCTTCTCGCTGTATTTGGAAAAAAATGTTAATCAAAGTTCAGACCTTTAAGTGACTATACATGGTATAATTCTGTCTCACCGATAAAGTCTGAGGTACAGCTTATAGCTTAGGAAACTGGTTATCCATGTTGTCTAGCCTTGGAGTCAACTATTGAAAATTGCTTAAAACTACTGAGAATCAAAGAGGTACTGGGAAATGCTGGTGTATCTTGTTGATCTTTTACAAGTCCCATTAAATACAAGGTCTTTGACAGCAAATACTTCTCTTTTCCCACATCTAAACTGTGATATAACAGAATGCTGCCATGTTCATTGTGGATGTCAGATTAGTATCAAGGTATTGGAAACCAAAAGAATCTTATTAGTGGAATGATAGATGCTCATTCCGATAAGAAGTGGGGGAAAGTTTATCATGAAACTACTGTTAACCATATTAAGTAACTTGCTACAATTACATCTAACTTAAACATTAAATAATGTAGTTATGAATGATATTTAAAATATAAAGTAAAATTAAATGCCTCAGTTTCTTTTTGATAAGTCAAACTGGAAATGTAAGATGATTATTATCCATGGTCTATAGATCTTTCAAAATATCATTTTGAATATGTAGTGATTGATGGGTCATATAGGATGTCTCTAACTTAACATGATTAAACATGGCAGAAAAATGCCAAAAGAGAATGTGATTTAAGGCCTTCCACCCAAGAGAGCATTTTGGGATCCTAGTTTGTCTTTTAGTCTAATGTTTAATGCTTGGATTTGAAATAACAGGTTACAATAGTTAAAATTCTCATCTCATTGAAATATCTAATTAAGGGCCAGGGATTTACCTCAGTGGCACCACACCTGCCTTACAAGCTCAGGGTCCAGAGTTCAATCCCCGGTACAAAAAAAAAAAAAGGAATATCTAATGAAAAGGAACAAATACTCATCTCAAGCACACTCAAACAGAATTTTCATGATGTGCCTCTACAGGGGTATTTGAAAATGTTTCCATCTATTCCCCATTGCAATAAATCTGAAGACCTTGAATATGTCATATGTTGATCTTTTATTTGATTGATAAATCATCCAGTTCTGTACTGGAGGTGTTCTCATCCCTTAGGGTCATTTGACAATGTCTGGAGACATTTTTGATTCTTATGATCGAGGATGGAGGAGCAAGTGACACTCTGTACAGCTTGCACCTAGTGGAAGCCAGGGGCACAGATCAACATCTGACAGTGGCCAATGGAGCCCAGACAAAGAATTATCTCACCCAGAATGTCAAGGAATGCCAAGAATGAATTAAATCTCCAGTCTATACCAACCAGAGACTCCAACAGAAGTGACTGCTGAGGAGGAGATATACTCCATATTCTCAGGACAAGGGATGCAAATTAATAGAGTCAAAACCACATTGGAACAGTTCATATGGATGCTTGAATGAACATTCTCCTCTAACTGGTGTTATGGCATGTGATAAAATCATTTCCCCGTTGTCTCTCTGAGAATAAAATATAGTTGGAGGGAATGATGTTTTTCCTGTTCTGAAGGTCAGGAAGACCTCTGTTATCTGTTTGAAAAGAAAAACCAGTGGATAAACCTAATAGAGCAGCTGAAAATCATACCTCTCATGTATTATCTCTTTCACATTTAAACATGTTCTGAAAAGAAAGAAGAGTTGGGTTTCCAGTGATAACTATGTCATCTTATGATTTCTGCCAATATTAAGATCCGTAGGCTTAATTTAGCTTACATTTCAAAGTCGTGGCAAGAATAGGTATTAAGCATTTTGCAACTGTTTGGGGAATTTTAAAGGTTATTAAGTTCTGAATAACAGAGAACCTCATGTTTTCCCACCAAGCTTTTCCCAGCAATTGAATATATCTGGATCTTATTCTGGTTTTTCATTCTTTTTTTAGCTTCCTGAAATGACTCATGTTCAAACACGACGACCCTGGATGATGTTTCTTCTGCAAAACATTGGATTGATCCTAGGTTGGCTCTCTCTCTTACTCTTGGCTATATATGAACAAAATATTAAAATATAAATTAAGGTTCTTAAAATCCTTCAAAAGTGAATTTATAGGACCTCATTTCATCTCTTTCATTGTACTTGACAATGATTAGTAAACTAAGTATTTTTATCTTAGGTGAAGACTGCGTCTTTTAGTTCATTAACTTATTAGTTTTATAGTGCACTTCTGTTTCAGGGGAATACATAAAGGTCAGAGTGTCCTTCGTGGAAATTTTGTTTGTTTCCAACACTGTGATGGAACTTCTGCTTTTCTCTTGTCTTTTTTTTAATAATCATAAAAAACTTAAAAAATATTGTTTCTCTAAGAAAGAATGTAGTATTTGAAGTAGACAGATGCCTGTTGGGATAAAATCAGGTATAACTGCTTTGATGTCAATAATGTACTTTTTTTCCTGTGAAATTTTAAACCCTTAGGAAACTAAATTATAAACAAATGTAATAAAGTCTAGTTTTAATGTGATGGTTTGCATTACCTTCTATTACTGCATGTCAGATTCCAAGCCCTCTCTTATAAAGCCAATACAGTATTGTTCACCTGGAATCATTACCCACTGGCTTGAGAGTGCTCATGAATATGCAATTCTGGACCGCTAGAGGATAATATGTCAGCATTCTTCTGCATAAGTCACTAAAGGAAATTTGTTCCAGGCAAGGAGAACTTGGAAACAAAAAATGAAGTTCAAGAAAATTTTTAAATAACAAACCTTGAGTCAGGCAGTAGGTGAATGTCCAAACTTTCACAGATTGTGTAACAGAGAATGTTTATGGGAATAATCCTACTGACAAGTATATTTTATATTCTTTCTGAGGCAACATAGACTTCTAAATGGGATTTTGGCAGGTTAGTACATGACATGAACAAGCAACATTGCTAATAACACAGCAAAATTATTAAAATAGAAAATAGCCCTGACTTTGGTCACTTTTTTCTTGGAAAATGGGTGCCTCATCATTCTCTTATTGTTATTTTTTTAATGATGCATCTTGACAAGGGACGATTCCTATTTTTCTGCCAAAATGACTCTGGCACTCTGTCCTGTAAGTTTCTCTTTCCTCTTACCTTTCGCTAGATAACTCATTGCTATGCCTGTCAACCACTTTTCTTGGATTCCACAAGAAAGAGGGCCCCCTCTAGTTGTCTTTAGAGCTTGCTTTAAGGGGGCTTCACTGAATAGTGGAGTAGTCCTCAAACTTTGGCACTCATCAGAACCAAATGGAAGATTACCTGTGAGATTGCTGACTCCGTCCATAGAATTTCTGATTCTGGGGGTCTTGATGCTACTGGAAGAGGCATCTCCGAACACCAGTGGGGAGCAGGCAGTCAGGTAGATGTGGTTTTGAGAAAGAACAGGTGCATGACTCTTGCTTAAGAGCTATGTGCTTTGGAGTAAGGTGATTAAACTTCTACAAACCTCATGCTAGACATGTGTTCCTAGGCCAAAATTCCCTTTTGTTTTTCTTTTCCCCTTCCCTTGGAGCATTGAATCAGTCCTGAAAATTATTGGATGAGGAGTCCACAGATAGTATTTAGATTCATATTTACCATGAAAGGTAAGTAGGTCTGACACATAGAACTTTATCCTTCTTTTGGTACAGAATACCTTGTAGCTAGAAAAGCACGCCTTTGTTCAGATCAACATGGTGTAGAGGTCACGTGTAAAACGTACCTGGCACCATCTGTGTTTGGGTTTCTATGCCCGGGTTCTGACTTTGGCATTAAACCTTAATTTCTGTCAACCTAATGAGGACAGCTCTGATGGATAACTTTGCTTCCAGTTCAAGTTTACAGTAGTCTGCAGCTGGCTAAATTACAAATTTTGGTGTGAGCTGCTTATTCTATAACCTTCAAGTTGGAGTGAATCTGGCACTGAGGGGACAGAGCAGGATGCAGAGGGGCTGGACAAGAACCAGCTGTCCAAAGGACTTAGAGGGACATTCTCAGTATCTTGTAAGATTATTGCCGGTGTGTTCTGATGGAAAGCAGACACCTGTCCACTCAGAGGTCATCCTGAGGATAATGTGACAGAGAGATTTCTGAGATCCCCATTTCTCCTCTTTTCTACCTTATCACTGGGTTTATGCTAATCCACATCAGGCTCGAGACAGCTGAGCACAGCCTGCTACGGACCTTCAGCCACAAGCAATCTTAAAATTGCTAGAAAATCTCTATTCCTCAAAATTGAGGGGTAATAATAAAAATTTGATGACAACCGTGTGCCCTTTAAAGATGAGGAGTCTAAATTTGGAACGCCTGACTAGCGTCATCCCGTTAAGCTGTCTGTGTTATGGCTTGCTCCCTGATCTTTGGGATAGATGGCATTTTCCTTGAAACCAGAGTTTTCAATAATATTAGAATGTTTGTTTCCTGGGCCTAAATTTAGGATTCCACTGTAGTTCTACTTGATGACTGATTTGTTTTTTCACCACTGAACTAGAAATGCTCCTGGAGAGAAATCAAAGAGCAAATCATGTAGAAATTTTATTGAAATAACCATCATATACTGACAGGGCCGTCTTGAGGGAGAAGGGAATTGGGCCATGTTGTTGGAATGCTGTGTAGATCCTGGGAAGCATTAGAGACTGAAATGTCAGTAAATGTGCCCAAGGATTGTGGCCACTCCTGACTTCACCCCCTTCCCAGACCCTGGATGTGCAGGTAAGAGTGTGCCTCCCCTTAGGAGACCTTCTCTCAGAAGGCTGCACCTTTAGAACCCCCTTTTCTAAACCGAGAGGAAAGGGCAGGGTCACCAGGCTGCTGATCACTAGGGCAGGTCTGACTGATCAGATGGAGCTCTTGTGTGGTCATTAAGAATTCAGGCTCCTAACTGGAATCCCCATTCCAATCCCAAGCTACACTGCTGGGAACAACAATGTCTTCTGTCTGTAAAGTGGGGCTAAAAATAGACCCTATCTCTTGAGGTTGTGGTGAGGTCAACATGGGTTGCTGCTCACAAGGCACTGAGCACAGGGCCTGGAAAAGACTAATGGCTCAAGAAATACTAACCACCACTGTCATCACTACCATTGTCATTGTCTTTGATATTCCCTTCTTTCAATAGAATTTCACAGTTTACCTCTCGGTGTTGTCACTTTGGTTAAGAAAATGTCTTTTCTTAGTAGAGAGTGGAGCTCAAGACTTTTTATAGAAATGCAGTCCTCTATAAATGCCCCAAACCCTTTCTCACCAGCTTGTCAAAGCTGACCTACGCTTTCTTTGTCTTGAGTCACTTTTGGAGCAGGAGAGATAGAGGCCTCTCTTACATCCTCCCCGGGCAGGCTTTGTCCATGTATCCTGATGCTTACACACAGCAGGAGGCCCTCTCTCATATTCTTTAGCTCTCAAAACAAGTTGAGAACCTATTATGTTCCATCCAGCTACACTTCCAAGGTTGAATAATGGAACCTGACAAGAACCTGTCGAAGGTCATGGTTATTGTCACAATTTGATTTCAACTCAGGAGCAACATAAACTCAACTGATTCCCCCTGGTACCCATGCACCTGCTGAGGAAATGAAGCCAGGCCTGAGAGGAGTCCAGCACCATCAGCAGAAACAGGGTGAGTGCTTGTTTGAGTCCTGGCTTATTTAAATAGGGCCAGTGCCATCCAGCTGGACATGGACAGCAGGGCTGCAAGTGCCCAGCTAGTGTCCTTTGAGGCAGAGGCATAAGCCTGGGGTGTCATGCACCTTTCAAAATATGACTGAAATGTAGAACTTTTGAGAAGCCAGAGAGATTTTGAGTAGCCAAATTTTGAGATCCCAACTCTTGAGTGGCCTGAGCCCACCCAACATTGCTTCTTGGAGTGGCTTGTGAAATATACTTGCACATCTTTCCTGTCTGTACTCACTGTCCTGTACCCCCACTATAATATCTTTCCAGGATAGACTCTGCCACACAGGCCTCCCTCCCACAAGCCACTCTACCCACTTTGAAATGCCTCCTGCTTCTCTTTCTTTGTAATAATAAGTCCCTCCTCCTCTGTAGTCGTAGTGAAAAATGTAAAAAGAGAATCTTCCCCTACCCCTGCCCACAGGGAGAGAGGCTTTGCCCAGTTCTGACCCATCTGGGCTCCCACTGACTCGCATCCACACCTTCAGCTTCACTTAGAAACTCTCTAGGGTTCTGCCTTATGGACTAGATGTGTCTCGTGGTCTCAGCATTTCCATTAAATAGCAGGCTATGGAGAGAGAATATAGGTTCACAACATAACATAATGCAGGCACAGGAACCAAGTTTAGGTATTGAATTCAACCCTTTGGTATTATAGTACTGATGTAACAGCAAATATCTGTGTGACACCATGTGGTGATACTGTTAAAAGTGCTTATGAAAATCCCTTGATTCCCTTAACAACCCTGGGAATGTAGATGTAATATTGCTTTCAGTGCCATTTTGTAGATGATGGCATTGATGTCGGCCGAAGTGGGTTAACTTGCAGAGTATTGGTAAATGAGTGGCAGGTGACTGTGATATTAATCCCTACAACACGATGCCTTTTCAGAGGGAAACTGAGGTTCAGAGTCACCATAGATGATCACCATAGCACTTACCTCTGGAAATCATTCAACCCAGGACTAAATTCTCCATCTCCGACCTGTAGTGCAGGAAGCTTAACAATCTTTACAATCTCTGCTGGTCCTGCCAAGTCTCTACAGCCTCCGTCTTCCCAGGGCGCTGTTACTATTCCAGCAGTCTTATTGGTTTCCTAATTGTTAATTTTGTAGAATGGTTAAAAAAAAAAAAGAGCTCAGCGAATCTAGCCCCAGATCTGTCATCAGTTGTCCGTCTTCAGGTCTGCATTTTCCGCTCTGTAAGACAGGAGAGTAGAAGAGGTGATGCCGCACAGTCTCACTGAGTACTGGCTGTGATCAGGCATGGTGGTCGGTGTGCTCCACAGTATATTGAACGTCATGTGGCTTCTGTAGTGTCTGTTGTTCTTGCAGAAGTCACTGGTATAATGCTTCGAATGAACTTCCCCCAACGTGCATATTGAGTCCAACCCTCAGAATGTAATCTTATTTGGAAATAAGGTCATTGCAAATGCAATGAGTAAGATAGGGTCATACTCTATTTAGAAGGGGTCACCAGTATGACTGGTGTCTTGATGAGGGGAGGAGACTCACAGAGACAGGCACATAAGAAAAGCAGTGACGTAAAGACAGAGGCAGACTAGCATGAGGTAGCCAAAAGCCAATGAATGGCAGAGATTGTTGGCAGCAACCAGAGCTGGGAAGAGGAAAGAGCCTGCAGAGGAAGTGCAGCCCTCCACATTCCCTGGCTGTGGACTGCAAGTCTCCAAAATCGGGAGAGAAAACATTTCTCCAGGTCTAGGCCACCCAATTTGTGGTTATTGCTGTAGCCTTTGGCAACCCATACCCTCCACAGGGGATAATTCCCAATGTTAACACCTTGGGATTCTTTTCTGCATAAGTATCAGAAGAAATGTCTCTTAAAAACCTAGGTTCCAGGCTCTCACTTATCACCACTCATTCTTTAGGTTCATTGTGTTCCAATCTTGCCCATAAACTGGACAAGGATATAGAAAATGTAAGTTTTAAGTTCATATTAACTCGAATCATGGATATTGGGGTCCCCCAAACCTCAGACGGTAAGTCTTAAAACTGAATGCCCTTCAGGCTGTGAGATCGCTACTGTAAACCAGCTTTCCAAAAGACAGGTCTACCTTTTAAGCAATAAGCATTTTGTTAAAGAAAGACACGTATGAATCTTCTCAGATGCCATTAAAACTGCTCTGGGGAAACCCGAGGAAAGAAAAACAGAGATATTCTCTTGGCTTCTTCTTCCTTTCCTAGAGAAGCCTATGAAGGGTTCCTGTTAACACTTCTTGGAAGAATGAAATCCTGCATTATAAATGAATATTCCTAAT